TCAGTATAAATGTTTTGCTAAGGTTTGTCTTGTCAGAGTGGCCACAGGTTGTCTCTCCACAGGAGCACGTTGACGAGGGCAAGGGAGATAGGAGAGGGTAAGGGGGCATGGTAAGGGAGGGGTTTAAGAGTGGTCCTGCCCCCGTCCCTCCTACTTGAGGTCCATGAAGCGGATGTCCATGATGAGCAGGATGCTCTTCGGGAGGGGCCGGGGGGCCGGAGAGAGCACGGTGAAGAGCTGCCGCTCCACGTCCACGCTGGTGACCACGATGAAACCTGCCACGCTGGTCTCGATCAGGTTGTCCTCAGGCGAGTCAGCTGTGCTAACGCTGAGCAGGTGGTGCACCAGGTCACGCCCAGGCTGCACTGGTACCAGCTTCAGCTGGTTGTCTTCCTGTGACATCCCCAGGGGCAGGCAGGAGTCAGGGATGGTGGGGGCACCCACCTTGAAGATGCGCACGTCGGAGAAGCGCACGTCGAAGGCGTGGGGGTAGAAGCTGCCGCGGAAGCCGTAGAAATACTCTCGGATCTTCTCATCGCGGCTCTCCCTCCGGAAGTCCTTGGAGCGCTCCACCGCCCCTCCTGACTTGGGCAGCAGGGCCGTCTTCACAAAGTGCGGCAGGTCACGCTTCAGCTCATTGTACAGGCGCTCCTGGTCCAGGACGATGGCAGCGTCCACTTCAAAGGCCGAGGCTGCGTGTACCAGGGCCTGGTAACCCGAGCCTTTGACCCAGCCGCATGTGTTTATGACGCAACCGCTGGTGGCTGCTCGACGGTTCACCTCACACCGCTGGTTAAACACTTCAGCCAGGCGTGACGTAATCTGAAGGAGAGGTGGGAGACACCGGGGTTAGACTCCTTCGGCAAACTATCCGGATGGCTTCCCACAGCGTGTGAAAGAGAAAGACCATGATGTTATCCTCAACATGCTGCCCCCAGCCCCCCAACAGGGCCACATGCCCCAACCCCAAGCAGGGTCCCAGGCACCAGTCCACAACAGGGCCCCATATACCCAGGCCCCAACTGCGAATCAAGCCCCAGATGTCAGCTACCAACTAGGCCTCAGTCTCAATAAGCCAAGCGCAGATTTCAGATTGCGAAACTGTTACAGCACAAAAAGGGGCCTTTCGGTCATCACGAATGCACTCGTCTCCAATAAATGTTATGATCCCAACAATCATTCACTTACCTTTGCCACATAGCTTCTTGTATATTGTTTCTATTTACATATTCTATGCCCCTTTTTAATGCCTCAATTTAAACTGCCTCCACCACATTTGGTACACTTGTAAATTACTTTATACCGGTGCCCTCTTGCTCTCAATGCTTTTGAGTGGCGTGCGTTCCTTCCTATCTACTCCATCTCGCCCAGTCATGACTGAAAACTTTATGAGATCCTCTCTCAGCCGCCTTCTCTCCTTGGAGAACAGTCCCAACCTCTCCAAACTACCCTCATCCCTGAAACTTGTAAACCACATATTCACATTGTTCCTATGATCTGGTGCCCAGAACTGCACACAATACTCCAGCTGATGTCTAACAAGGGTCTTATACAAGTTCATCAGAAGCTCTTGCACTCTAAGCCCCTGTTAAAGATGCCTATATCAGTCTGTGCTTTACTAAGAGCTCTATCTAGATGTCCTGCACCACACACACCCAGGTCTCTCTGCACCTGTACATACACACACAATTACCCCACCTATTTTACACCACTTCTTCATATACCAAACAGCATCAACTAACACGTTACCCATTTCTCCAAATGTTTCATGCACCCTTGTATTCCTCTCAAAAACTCTGAGCTCCCACACCTACACAGAGTTATCTTCAACTTACGCAAACAGCAACGGCAAAATGCCCCGTAAGGAACGCGGTACCAGCTCTGTAACCTCCCTCCTCTCTTATATTCTCTGTCCCTGTATGTTTTCTTACAGTATGTCTGTCTAAATTTCCCCATTATCTTCACTCTAAAACGTTAGTGTAATTTTATAACTTTTAAAGATTCATTCATGAAATGTGGGCATCACTGGCTGGTCCAGCATTTATTGCCCCCGTCCCTAGTTGCCCCCGCTTGAGAAGGTGGGGGTGAGCTGCCTTCTAAAACCGCTGCAGTCCATGTGCTGTGGGTTGACCCACAATGCCCTGAGGGAGGCGATTCTGACCCAGCGACACTGAAGGAACGGCCAATATATTTCCAAGTCAGGATGGGGAGTGGCTCGGAGGGGAACTTGCAGGGGGGTGATTGAATTCCTGATCGGATTTATCCATGACTGTCTTACACTGGCGGCCAGTGGTCTGGTCTGGTCTGGCCCCACAAATGGAAACATGGCCTCTCGATGTACCCTATTGAGCCCTTTCCTCATCCGTTAGTCAGCCCTTAGCCTTCTCTTTTCAGAGGCAAGAGCGACAGCCTGTTCCAAGTCTTCCTGATAAGCCTGTCCTTGCCTCTCCAATGTGTTATCAGCCTCTTAAATCGTCACTGCAGCCATTATCACCTGAGCGATAATTAGGTCAGGGTTGGGAACAGCACGACCCAGCACGGTCCAATCTGAAAGTTCCACATAAAGCAGTATCCCTGTTGAAATAAAGCCAGGGTGCTTAGTTTGCCGTTCGGTACGGCCCTATTAACCAGCATCATGACTTGGAATGATTTACAAAACTGTCAGTCAATCTGGCCTGCGCCCAGCTTGGGAGCATGACGGTTTATTGCAGCAATTATCACTTCGCGTGCAAATGCAGGGAAACAGACTGCAAAGCAGAAAGGTGCTTTCTTGAGCACAATTCTCTCTACAGCCTCTACACATTCTGAAGCCTTTCAGCCCTGCACACAGAGCGCTTGTGAACAGAAGGCAGGCAAGCAAATACAGCCAGCAATCAGTACACAGCAAGCACCCACAAGCAGTCAGAGGGAGCACAGTTTTCACTGGGTGATGGTGGACCGGCAAGGGGGCGGGTTGTGGGGGGGTGTTGGGGCGCAATTCTCAACTACTGCCTTGTAACTGTCCCATGGGGTATTTCACACTTGCAAGATATGGCAGGGATGGGTGTGCCTTGGTTTGATGTCTGGTCTGAAACATTCAACTGCTGTGGAATTTGCTCAGAAACCCAGTAAAAATACTGACACCTCAGCTCCAGGGCCTGGAGCAAACTCTCGGTGGCGTCATATGCGGGGAGTCAGCGCCGAGGGGGCGCCGCGCTGTCGGGGGGGGCAGCACCAAGGGGCCGCCGCGCTGTCGGCAGTGGGGGGGCGCGGTCAGCACCGAGGGGGCACCGCACTCAGGAGGAACACAGAAACAGGAGCAGGCCACTCAATCCCTCGAGCTTGTTCCACCATTCAAAAGGGCAGGAGTAAGTTTGAGGAAATGTTATTTATCCACAGGGTGGTGGGTATCTGGAATGCACTGTCTAAAAGGGTGGTAAAGGCAGAAAGCATTTATGAAATATTTAGATGAAACACCATAGTATACAAGGCTACAGGCAATGTGCTGGACTAGAATAGGAGACTCTCAATGACCAGCATGGACACGTTGGGCTGGAGTCCCTTCTTCAGTGCTGAAAGACCTCTGTAACTGATGGAGAATAGTTCCAGGGAACAGGGGCTTCAGTTGCGACTGTAGGTTGCAGAAACTAGGGCTGTTCTCCTGAGCAGGAAAGGAGATGGAGGGGAGATTTGAACGAAGGGCTGAAGATTATGGTTAAGGCATCACTTCTGGCACAAGGATAAAGGGACTAGATTTCAGGCTTCAGGATTAGAGAGAGAGAGAGAGATGCAGAGTGGTAGGTGGGGGAAGGGCACACTCTGGGAGAAAGTCTTTTTGTTTTAAAAAAATGCATCGAGTGTCAACGAGATGAAACTCGTGCGGAGATGAATGATTTGGAGAGGAGACAAACTTGGATTCCAGGATGGCAGGGTGGGGGGAGAGGGCGGGGTCGGGATTGCTTGGCAGAGTGCGCTGCGGAACTGAATGGGCTGATTTGCCTCCTTCTGTGCACTGATGATCACAAGACCATAAAACTTAGCAGCTGGAGTAGGCCATTCAGCCCTTCATGTCTGCTCTACCACTCAATGAGATCGTGGTGGATCTGATAATCCTCAGCTCCACCTTCCCCACGACCCTAGGTTCCCATCCTGATTAAAAGTCAGCGTCGAATATACTTAAGGACCCAGCCTTGACAGTGCTCCGTGGGAAAGAATTCCATAGATTCACTCCCCTCTGAGACGAGGGATACCTCCTCATCTCTTCCTTAAATGTGCAGCCCCTTGTTCTGAGATTTTGCCCTTTGGTCCAGGACTCTCTTATGAGGGGAAGCCACCCTTTCTGAATCTATCCTGTCAAGAGCTCCCAAAAAAATCTAGCAATAAAGTCACCTCTCATTCTTCTGAACTTTCAATCTCCTCAACTTCTCATGATACAGTCCCTCCACACCCAGTATCAGCCTAGTGGACCCCCCCGGACTGCCTCCAATGCTGGTGTATGTTTGCTTAGTTAAGGGAGCCCAAAACTATTCACAATATTCAAGCCTTGCCCGGAAGGTGGAGTGGGAGTGGGGGCTTGTCAACAGAGTAAGGGATGGGGGAGGTGGGAATCCAGCCACTGCCCCACTTTTTTGTAAACTTGAAGCTGGAGAAGGAAGATCAGGACGAGGGCTGGGGGTGTGGAGAGGAGGGGGTATATCATTGACTCGGGAGGGAAGCTGGAAGCTGGCATAAGGGAGGGAGGAGGACAGAGGGCTACTTCCCACACAGGCCCACCTCCCGATCTCCCTGACACAAGTCTCCACCATCCATAAAACCCTGCCCCACAACCACTACAGCTGGGCTGGTGATACCTTTCCGCTGCTTTGGAGGAAGTCTCAGACAGGGAGAGCAGACTCCACAACTGAATCCAGACCTTTCAGGAGTAAAATGAGGAAACACCCACACACAAAGGTAAGCAGGATTTTAGAAACTCTCTTCGGTAAACAGTAATCAATGCCAGATCAATGTTGAATTTTAAATCCCAGACTGAGACAGGTTTGTTATTTTTAAGTATTCGGAGACGTGTTGTAAAGGCAGGTCTAAAGAATTAGATCACAGATCAGTCATGATTTTACTGAAGCAGACTCAACGGGCTGAACAGCCTCCTCTTGTTCCTGTGGGACAGGCTGAAGAAGGGGGCTGAATGGCCTCCTCCTGTTCCTGTGGGACAGGCTGGAGAAGGGGGCTGAATGGCCACCCCCTGTTCCTGTGGGACAGGCCGGAGAAGGGGGCTGAGCATAACCTATTACCTATTGTAATGTAACCTATAACCTAATCCAGTCAATTGACAAGAGGGTGTGACCAAGAGGAATTAGCTGAGTGCCAATAAAACCATGGTTAAATGACAACTTTCCCATCAATATCTTTACTGCAGTGTGGAGGATGATTATGACCTTGTATTTCAGCAATAAAACAACAGCTATGATATTGGTACGCACAGTCAGTCTGAACCCATCACGAACAAAAGTCCAAAAGCTCTGCCTTTTACAAGCTCCCCTACACCCAACACTGGAGCTCTCTCACACCAACCCCGACATCTCTCTCACACTCAAACGTTGGCACTGTCCTACCCACAGCCATCCCTTCTGCACCCCCACACCCACTGCTGGCCCTTTGCCACCCACAAGACCCGCATCCCAACAACACCCACAGCCCTACCCACTGATCCTAACCAAACTCTCGCTCAGCAAAACCCGCTCTTGCGGGATCTTCCTGTGCACTAATTGTCTCCTTTCCCTGCACCGCAACAGGGCAACCTGCTGGCTGCAGAGCCTTGACAGAAGATCACAGTAGTTGCTATCCAA